ATTAATCTATAATTTGTGTAATCCGTCTTTTAATTTCACGTTGCAGGAATTTTTTTGCAAACAACCTGTCAAAGGAAATTTGCACATTTTTAGTTTTTTTTGACTAAAAATCAGGTTATTTAAAATTTTGCAAAATTTTTTGCATATTTGAAATGGCATGGTCAAGGGCTTTTCAAAAATAAATATATAACTGAATTTTGCGTGAAAAATTCAATTTTTGCAAATTTTCAAATTATTTTGCAGATTCTAAAAGTAGAGCACAAGAGCTTTACAATGATGTATCGTTTGTCATATTTAGACATCAAACATGGAATTTAAAGACCCCCCCCCATATCCTGGTTTTCAAGTACCCCAGCAGAGATAGCGTTAAAAAAAATATATCGTCTTTAAGTTTTTCGTTTTTAAAAATTTCACATGAATGGTTCGTTCATTGCCTGCTCCGTAAACATTAAATTTACCCATTCACATAGTCCAGGGTATTTCAATTTGGAAATAAACCTTTCTTTTGCAACATTTACTTTTTGTTGTAGTTAGAAATGTATGAAAACTTTATTTTCACAGTTTGTCACAAATTCGGAAACAAAAGTTATCAAATTAAAAAAAGCTAATTATTTTCTGAATTTCTTCCTCCGCTATTCAATTACGATAACATTTATTGTTATTGTTATTATATATTTATTTTGACATATTTTACATACTTTAGTGTAAAATAAATCTGAAACCAAAGCTCGTGTGGCTATATCTAGAGTTGTTAATCGATTTTGAAAACGATCGTTAAACGCTTTTAGAAAACGAATAACGATCGATTTTGAAAACGATAGTTTTTATAAAAAACAATTTGCGACCGTTTTTTGTACGATTGTTTTTATTAAAACAATCGTTTTTGAAAAAAGTTTTATTGACAATTATGTTAACGATCGTTAACGAACGGTCGTCGGACGGTAAACTTTGTTGAATGTCGTCTTTCATGAAGTTTGACAGTTGTGGGGGAGCTAAAACTTCTTGATATTTTATTTTAACTACTCAATGATAAGTACCACGATGCCCTTTAGGTCGGTTTCCTTTCTTCGTTAACGAAGGGTCGTCGTTAACGATCGTTAACGAAGGGTTGTCGATAACGATCGTTAACGATTGTTAACCAAGGGTCGTCGTTTAAAATCGTTAACGAAGGTTCTTCGTTAACGATTGTCAACCAAGGGTTGTGATTAAGATCGTTAACAAAACGACGAGTTTTATAAAAACGATCGTTTTGAAAACGACCATTTTAAAAAACGAACTTTTAAAAAAACGATCGTTTTCCGATTTTTCGTCGTCGTTTTCATTACGAAACGATTGTTTTTCAAAAATATGAAAACATCCCTAGCTATATCTCAATGATTTATAGTCTATCATGCCTTAAATTACAGCTTGATATCAAGCAAGGTAATAAGGCAAGGAAAGTTAATTGCGGTTGCGTATTCTCTAAGTAGTGCGTACACATTGAAACCAGTTCTCTCTGGGCGGTATTTGTAAACAAGAATAAATGAATCAGTGCTCCTCTAGACAGCAATTAGACAGCAATTTTTAAATTTCGTAAACTGATATTTTTTGTTGTTTCTTTGCTAAAGTGACTTGCGCATTTAATGTGCAGGAAAAAAATATTGGAATTATCAGAAATAAACATTTTAAAACCTGGAGAATTGACAATATCTTCCACATTATTGATCAAAAGTACCCATTTGAATCGAGCCAAGGGTATAATGCAAGGAAAGTCAATTGCGGTTGTGTATACTCTGTGTACATATTGAAACCAGTTCTCTCTGGGTGGAATTTGTAAACAAGAATTGATGGATCAGTGTTCGTCTAGTATCCGAGAAGAACAAAATCATTTAATATTGATAATTTTAATAATTCACATACTAATTTTCTATGACCAGAATATTTCATTGATTTTTTTAAGTGAAGATGGATCCCATGTCAAGCTGTGACATCCGTCTTTTGTTTACTTTATAGCCCAGAGACAGTACACTGCGGTACAAAAAATGTGTACACCTCTGAAATAACTATCTTTACATTATAATTCTTTGATATGAAGCATTCCACCAGCAAGTCAATTTGTTACAAACCTAATTTGCTCTGAACATATTGGAAATCAATCATATAATTTTTAATTTGAAATTTCCTCCTTTTTCGTCATTTTCCTAGAAGAAAATAAGTTCTTGTCATAAAATCTGATTTTTTAATAGCTCATATCAAACCATTGATTCTTTAAACTACGAATTCTATTACAAGTTTATACTTTTAATACTGTCAAAGTTTGACATGCATCATTAGGCCGCAAAAGATAAGGTTGAGTTTGAGAAATAGCTCAGTCGCCTTAAACAACCAAAATTTTTTTTTTTTCAATATTTTTGCTAAAAATTTTATTTGCATAAGACTAATAAATCGGTTTGGCTTTTTTTCTTGGTGTAAATTTACAATTTACACTGTTCGAAATTTATTCTTAGAATGCCCCAACAATACTACAATTGAGAGAAATATTCCTTATTTCTCCTGGTCTGAACCTGAACCTATATGTTAGATAAGTATCCATGATTACTCCTGAACCTGAACCCTAACCTAGTTGAGAGAAGTATCCATGATTACTCCGGAACCTGAACACTGAACCTGAAGGCTTATCTCCGTATCTCCGTCCTCCATCCAACATTCTATACAGATTACAGAGTTATGAACAAATAAAAGAATACCTTTAAGACTGTAAGCGTAACTTCAAATCACACTCCGTGCAGAAATGTCAATGTCCGATTTATAACTGCACCCTTGAAACCTTTATCTGATCTATGTTGTTTTCAAGCTGTACTGCAGCCTGCAGGTATGTTGTGTTCAAGCTGTACTGCAGCCTGCAGGTATGTTGTGTTCAAGCTGTACTGCAGCCTGCAGGTATGTTGTGTTCAAGCTGTACTGCAGCCTGCAGATATGTTGTGTTCAAGGTGTACTGCAGCCTGCAGGTATGCCGTGTTCAAGCTGTACTGCAGCCTGCAACCTGCAGGTAAAAATGTTAGCTTTGCATAAATAATTTTTTGCTAAGGTTACAAGTAAACAATTGCTATTAATTGTCAACTTTTCTTTGTTTCCATTATGTACGTGCATCCATATGATGCTTGGAAGCTTGGTAGAAATTTAACTATAAAGTTTTCTCTATATTATACGACGACTTTATGGAAAACTAGCTGAAGGGCTGGTCGTTGCCCGTGGATTTTTTTTATTTGAAAAAAAAAATAGGAAAAATGGAATTTTTTAAGTCTATAACACCCCCCAGCAACACATGAGTGTCCACAAAAAATGTCAGCCCAATCAGTCCAGCCGTTTTACCGGCTATAGGCAACATATATATATACGAATGTCTTGTTTTATTATATAGAATACAAAATATGTTTTCTAAATTCAAACAGATATAACACATTTGCAATTAGTAATTTAAAGTGAACACTATACTGGTGTGTACATTACGTTTTGTAAACTAACATTTAGAGGTACTTCTATACTTTCTTCACGTCGACCAGTACTAACATCTTTTTCTTCAAAGTTTACTATAACAATTTTGATATTTTTTTTGTACCATCTAATGTCGATTAGATGTTGTTTTGAACCCCCTTAGGTTTCTCCTGTTACAGCCTAAATAACTTTTTCCATTTAAGCTGTCTTAGAGGTTAACAATATTTAGTTCAACAAAATTTAAGATTGCTAAATACTACTTATTCTGAAGCACATATATCCACACACAAAAAGCATAAAAGAAAAAAGAAAAATTCTAATTTTAATTTGTAATTGTTAAAATGTCATAGGTAGCCCATCTTTCTCGGACTTTTTAATTGGCGTGCACATGGAGTTATTTACATTCGGAATCAAAAAATATTTGGTTTGGAAAAATATCAACACACGTCCGAGTTGTCGGGCCGGTGCAGGAAGATTTTATAGTACCGTTCCGATTTTCTTCAAATCACTTAAAATTCCCACTTTGGTTGTGTGGTAAGTATTATTAAAATATTACAATAAAATATCAGTTCAATAACTTGGTGTTTTAATAGCATAATAAAAATGCTAAATATAAAAGAAAAATAGAAAAACATTTATTCTTGAAAAACTCAAAATCAAATTCAATTACAATTAAGTTAGCATTGTACAGCTAGATTATGAGCTATTCAAAAAATCATATTTTTATAGAATTATTATGATATAAGATTTACATTATTATAATTTGCTTAAATTCACTTTAGTTTTGAACATGAACCATAATACATAGGACGAGAAACGTACACAATATTTAAAAAAAGACATTTTGTTTAAAAATAAGTAATATTAAGTAGTTTGCAACTACTCTAGATAACTAAACGACATTGCTTTAAGATAATTGAGGGCACAATAAAAAATACTGGCAAGTATAAAAAATAATTTCCCTCTTTTTAAAGCATAAATATATATTTTTTTTACAAAATTAGTTGTCTTCACATTTCCATTCTTGGCAAAGATTGGCGGAATTTAGTTATTCCCAGTTCTATTTTATAAAATTGGAATTATCTGGATAGAATATACTATCTGGATAAAAGTTACTTTTTTAAAATAGGAATTATCTGGATAGAATATACTTTATAAAACAGGAATTATCTGGATAAAGTTACTTTATAAAATAAGAATTATCTGGATAGAATAAACTTTATAAGATTGGAATTATCTGGATAAAAGTTACTTTATAAAATAGGAATTATCTGGATAGAATATACTTTATAAAATTGGAATTATCTTGATAAAAGATAATTTATAAAATATGAATATCTGGATAAAAGTTACTTTATAAAATAGGAATTATCTGGATAGAATATACTTTATAAAATTGGAATTATCTGGATAAAAGATACTTTATAAAATAGGAATTATCTGGATAAAAGTTACTTTATAAAATAGGAATTATCTGGATAAAAGTTACTTTATAAAATAGGAATTATCTGGATAGAATATACTTTATAAAATTGGAATTATCTGGATAAAAGATACTTTATAAAATAGGAATTATCTGGATAAAAGTTATTTTATAAAATAAGAATTATCTGGGTAAAATATATTTTATAAAATAGGAATTATCTGGGTAAAAGTTATTTTATAAAATAGGAATTATCTGGTTAAAATATATTTTATAAAATAGGAATTATCTGGTTAAAATATATTTTATAAAAAAGGAATTATCTGGTTAAAATATATTTTTTAAAAAAGGAATTATCTGGGTAAAATATATTTTGTAAAATAGGAATTATCTGGGTAAAATATATTTTATAAAATAGGAATTGTCTGGGTAAAAAAAAAATATAAATATTTTTGATATTTTGATTCTTCGGTTCTTTTCGCGGAGTTATTAGACATTGTAGATTTTTTGCAGGCTCCGCTCATACTTCTTCAAGATAACATTCCTCTTCACCTGGGTAAAATAGATTATCATAAATGAATAAAATCTTTGCTACAAACTGAACTTCGTTAAATTCGGACTCTGGACCCACAAAATAGAGAAATTTTTGTAAAATCTTTACAGTTTCCTACTCCGAAAAGTCTTTATATTATTGTTTTGTTTTGATACCCCATTTAGGCGTATTATTTAGCTTATAACAATCAAAGATTTAAATTCCTCTAGAAATATTTAAAAAACTATTAATATAATCAAGTTGAAATAAAATATCTTAATTTACAGGGTGTCCCAAGACACATAACAGTAGCAAGACGACTTAAAGGTAATATTTGATATTTTATACAATTTGCCGAATCATTTTCGTAAACCTAATTAATTATTTTATGTAAAAGAAAGTTGACAAACAAATGCCGCAAATAATTTCAAAGCTCTAAGACGACCTGACCTTCATGGTTGGTGTAAGATCTCCATCAGCTAGACTAAAATCTTTTGGCAAAATCATCCAACGAGCAATTCGCTGAGCATTACTGGTCGCACGGCCATTAGCTCGGTCAATTCCAGCCTAAATATTCAAAATTAAACAAAATATTCAATTTTAAGCGAATTTATATCCCCCACTTTTACTTTACAATTTTATATTCTCGGGTCTATAAAGTTTTATATTTTGCGAATTTTCATTCAGATAATCCCGTATTATTATAAAACTTGAACTGAAAAAAAACTTATTTATCCAAAAGGCTTGTATTATCATTTGAAAAAATATGTTTTTGTTGTGAATCGCGACAAAAAACATTCTTTTCCAGTAAAATAACACAAGGCAATAAATATAGTTTTTATTTCTTAAATGTTTTGATTAGTAATATTAATTTTTAACCGAAAATTCTAGTTTATCTAGTGTCGATCGACTTTCATAGTCACAATATCTCTAACAACAATTTCCCCAACAATTTCCCAAGCATCAATTTCCCAAACAACAATTTCCCAAACAACAATTTCCCAAACAAAAATTTCCCAAACAACAATTTCTCCATCAATTTCCCCAACAATATGCCCAACAACAATTTCTCCATCAATTTCCGCAACAATTTCCCCAAAAACAATTTCCCCAAAGTTTTTCCAAACATTAATTTCCCCGACAACAATTTTCCAAACATCAGTTTCTTCATCAATTTCCCCAACAATATCCCAAACAACAATTTCTCCATCAATTTCCCCAACAATTTCCGAAACATCAATTTCCCCAACAATTTCCCCAACTTCAATTTCCTCACAACAATTTCCCAAATAACAATTTCCCTGACCAACACCAACTGAAAATAAAAATGTGCAACTTTTCCAATATACAAAATGCATGAAGTGATTTAGTGTATTTCAATATTTTGAAATATTTTATGCATGGGGAAATTGTTTTTGAGGCTAAAGTTAATATTGGGGAAATTACTGTTAGTGAAATAAGTGGTTGGGAAAATACTTTTTGGAAAATTAAAATTTCTCGAGACAGGATATGACTCTCAGATATGACTTTTATGGGTCGAGATCAAGAGCTAAAGTGATTAGCTTTCAGCCTATACCCCCTTTCATTTTTCCTTTACTGTCCCTTTAAGTAAATTCCGAGCTGTAATTAAATGAATACAAATACCGGAACAAGTTTGGTTTTGCAGAAATCAATGAGAAGTCCAACACTCCTCTCTTTATAATGATCTCGAGTCTGAAATATTATTAAACATCAGGGACGATACTTTATAGTTCAGGGGCGTGCACAGGAATTTTTCAGAAGGAGGCTGACAATTTTTTGCAGCACTCGTTTGGGCCTGAGAACCCTTTGGAAAGAATATATTTTATTGATCCAGGGGGGGGGCGGGAGAATCTCAGCCCCCTGCTCAGGTTTTATACGTAATTTAATTAATAATTTATTTTTATTAATTATTAATTCTAATTAATTAATTTTCATGTAGATATAACCTTGAATCTAATTCTGACTTGAATTCATAATTTAATTTCTTTAAATATTGAAAGTTGAACCACGTCAGTTCTAGTAGGAAACATGAAAAACCTATATCTATATCTTTGCAACCCAATCGCGTAGAGTAGACCTTTGGTATTTAAGTTTGTGATTTAGCTGTTATAGAGCTGTTAAATCTACATAATCCACATAAATTCAGCCTGCTGTGAAAAGTCTCATCAATTATTAAAACAGGGTCAACTTTGAAGTGTCGCAATCTCCTTTACATTTACATTTAAGCACTCTAAGGCACTTGACGTTTCCCGCCCCATCCTAGTTTCTTTGTCCTGAAACTCTCATTTTTGACACTATAGTTGTGAAAGTTTCTGACTTTTAATTAATAGTAGTTTAACCCTATCCCTGCTGGGTTGCTTGAAAACCAGGATATGCTGCGGGGGGGGGTCAATTTGACCCCCCC